CGCACATCATGTGCTCCTGATACCAAAATCCAAAATCGGCCAGAATTTTGAAATTTAGCAAAAATTAGCGCCTGGGGGTAGGCAACCCGTACTGACAGATATGTCGGAGCGGTTGCCTGTCCGTAGGCGCAAACGTGCCACCTCTTCGCATATCATATTTTCACAAATTTAAAATTTCCTTAGAATTTCGATACGTACCTTGAATTTCTCGTGCTACTTTCTCGAATAGCATGTTCTCCTGATACCAAAATGTAAAATTCAATCGAGAATTTGATACGTACCAAAGATGTGCCCCTTGTATTCGGCAACCTATACTAACAGCTTTGTCGGGTCGGTTGCCATCTCGTAGGCGCAGGAGTGCCACTGTTATGCGGCAACCTATGTTAGCAGTCTTGTTGGTTCGGTTGCAGGTTCAGGGGAATATTATACTCGAAGAAGTGGCGTAGCCTTTAATAGAGTATTGATACTTACCTTTTGTATCAAGAGAATATGATGAGCGAGCATGTATCATAATTTTCTAATCTAACTCGAAACTTACCTTTTCTGTTCGGGTCACATGAACAACGAAGAGATGTACTAGGGAAAGGAGGGAAATGAAAGGAAAATGTGTTAGGAAATGGAGAAAATTGAAGGGAACTGTCGGGAGTTGTTAGGTGTAGTTAGGAGATGTTAGGAGGTGTTGGGAGATGTTAAAAGATGTTAGGAGGTGTTAGAATGTATTAGGAGGTTTCAAGAGTTGTTAGGGGATGCTAGAAGGTGTCAGATGATGTCATGGGCTGTCTGACATAAATAATTAGGAATTATATTTTTACCTCTAATGAGTTGAATGTATGGTACACTTCTAACCAAAGACATAACAGAGAATTGTGATTTTGTTGCAAGCCATGTGGTTTTGTTTAGAGACACTCTAATAAGACCATAGACATAATATCTGCAAAGATGGTTCCCGAAGTAACACGGCTTAATTCTGATAGGCCGCCGCTATTTTTCTCCAGAAAGGCCACCACTCACTAAATCGTTCATCGATTGGGTGAGTTTACAAATTTGTTTGCGAATAAGTTATTAATTTGCAAATAAGCAAATTGATAAACAACACTTGAACACTTGGTTGTTTCGACTTTAATCCTCGGTGGACAGTTTCTGAATGCTTGAATTTCTAATTTCATTTATAAGTACTAAACACGTCATTTTCCCTCCTCTTCCGCGAGATCGCGCGTAAATCGCCGCTAGGGAATAAATCCAGGAACAAAGGATGCGCAGAATTTTAACGACATAGTCATCTACGTTTTCGATAATCAATGGTTTACGGTAACGAAAGGCTTCCGTCTCTTTTCGCCTCTGCATTACATGAATTTTTCGTTTGTGCTTTGTCCTCGTTAAAATTGATTCTACGGTGTTCGAATTAGTTGGGGAATTAACAACGTTCGTTCTTTCGGTAGAGTTAACTTTGAAAACGGGGAGGAAGCGATAAATCTAACAATTATATCAGGGTGACGCCGTCCGCCTAAAGCCTCGGAGTCTTAAAATCTCCAAAGGCCCACAGGCATACGCGCAACCAAGGTAAGAATCCTACAACGCATGTTTAACAGAATTCATGAATTATTATGGATTTCTTTCAAACGGTACACGATACTTCGTGAAATTCTTTATTAAAAATTTCACAGGTTAATTTACAGTATTATCCAAAATCTCTACCTTGTTAACCTCAATACACCCATGAAAATTATTCGACAAACTTGTATTCGATGGAATGATTAACATCTCTACTTGACGCATTTTATTTACGCCAGTAATCAAAAAAGTTTTTTTTTTCATTTCAATCTTTCAAAAATCGTTACCAAGAAATGGCAAAGCAAACGTTACGTTAAAGAAACGAGTACTTCGAAAAAAGGTTTTCCGTTCTACAAGTTTTTGTAAAATTGAGTAAAGTTAATCTGTAAAGTATATCGACGATTAGTTTGCTAATATTTTTCATGGCTATAACTTATGGGGCTTCAACGTTGATATGAATTAATAAACTACATAATAGTGAAAATTGATTTTTAAAATATTACAGCAATTTGCATTGTACATTATATATGTGTAATACGCGTATGCCATTGGATTGAAAACATAATTATATGTTTTAATTTAAATATTGAATCTTTCTATTTTATGTCCTAGTTGCAGCAAACTATTTTCGATTTAAATATTTTCTATTTAAAAAATTTACCAAGTATAATATATGATCTTTCATATTTCTTTTCCATGTATATTTATTATCATAAAAGTAAGAAATTGACATTTATTTGACCAGACTTATTAATTTGAATGGTAAAGTATGCCGCGTGATATTAATATTAATTAGATTTATTCATATACGATAATAAAAATAATACTCTAGTTTCTCTTTACCTATATTTTTCCTGCTTCCCTTTTTTCTTTATTTCTCCATATGTCCAAAAGACATTCTTACAGGTTGAAAGTCCGTTCGTTATAGTTTCTAGTGCAGTACAAAACTGTTCACGGTTTATCGGTATTTCTTAGTTTGTGTTGTGTTCGAGTTGAAAGTTTAAAACGTAAAACGAAACAGTTCCGGGCAAGAAACGCCTGAAAATATAACAGTATGCATTGTATATGTGAAAAAAGTTCAGTTTAAGTATAAAGTATAAAAAAGTTGCTAGTAAAAAAAAAAGTTACCGACGTGATATAAAAAGTATGTTCGACACGGTTTGGATCGCGCGCGTTGTGCCTTCAAGAGCGAGTACTGCACAGGCTCTTATTGACACAGGTAAGCCCCTGCGATGCTACTGATGCAGATTTTTCAGTGCTACATTCGGTTGGTACGGCTAAAACAAAATTTCACTTCTCAAGTAAGAGGAATTCACAATTTGTTTGAACGGTGGTCCCATTCTTCCGTTACATATTATTATACGTATAGTAAGAAAATCGTTTGTTTACAGGTTAGAATAATCCGTCATGTCAGACTCTGGTTCAGAAAGTTCCTCTTCTGAGGGTTACGACAGAAGGAGAAACCCAGTTACGTCGACTAACAATGTGGGATCGCCAAACTCCTCGCACCATTCGTCCCTGTCGGGGCGTAAATCTAGGGCGAGTTCTCTTTCTTCGAGAGGAAAGTCACCCGAATCTATTATATCCGAGAGAGACTCGAAGTCTCCGAGATACACACCGATATCG